CAAAGTCACACGACGACCGCTACCGGAGCTCATTGTCCGCTTTGTAAACAAGATCATTTCTTGTCAGTATGTCCTGATTTTAAGAAGAAACAGGTTAACGAGCGTCGCGATCTTATTGTCAAATTTAAACGATGTCTCAACTGTTTAAGCGCTCGACATTTCGCGAACACATGTCCGAGTAAACATAACTGTCGTCAATGCCAACAAAGGCATCATACGATGCTTCACGAAGCGACGACATCAAGCGCGACCGAGAATTCCCTTGAATCCAACGAAACGAATACGTCAAATGAAAACAACGTCGTTTCACATTTAATTACGAAAACAACATTTGACAAATCTCGTGTTCTATTAGCTACCGCGCGGATTCAGGTGAGTTCTTCGTCTGGTCGCACAGATGTCATACGCGCATTGTTAGATCAAGGATCTGTCACTAGTTTAATTAGTGAAAATCTCGCTCAACGGCTACGGTTATCGCGAACACGCGTTGCTGTCTCGGTTACCGGAATCGGTGAAACGCAATCCGTCGCACGACATGCTGCTCTTATTTCGGTATCATCTAAGACCGGCAAGGGTCCGTCATACTCAACGACCGCAATTATTATGCGCTCTCTGACTAAATACACGCCGCCTAAAATAGCATATCAAATCTCTCTCGCTCATTTAAGCGGCCTGCCATGGGCTGATCCGCAGCCCTCAAGTGCCGATCCGATCGAAATGATCATCGGCGCTGATCTATACGGTGCTGTTCTGTTACCGGGCCTGTGCTCTGGTTCCTCTAATCAACCAACAGCACAGAATTCCATTTTCGGCTGGATCATGTCTGGTCCGATTTCGACGAGTTCGTCTTCAAACATGTCTAACGTGACAGTTAATCATACCACGTTGCACGACAATCTCGATGACGAAATTCGTCAGTTCTGGGAAGTCGAAGAACTTCCGCAAGTATCATACCTCACTCCTGAGGAACAACGTTGTGAGGAACATTTCCGAGCAACTCATTCTCGTGACTCGAATGGACGGTACGTCGTACGGCTACCGTTCAAAGCCAATCCTCCGATTGCAATAGGCGAATCTCGTCACATCGCCTCATCACTTCTTTCACGGCTTGAAGGCCGTCTTCAAAATAAAAGGGATATCGCATCCGAATATCGAGAGTTCCTACTGGAATACGAAAATCTCGGTCATATGAAGAAAGTAGACGAACCCGTCTCTGCTTCACAATCAGTTTACATCCCGCATCATGCGGTGATTCGCGAGCATAGCAGCACCACGCGGTTGCGCGTCGTGTTCAATGCATCTCAGTCGACATCGAACGGCTCTTCACTTAACGATCATCTCATGATCGGTCCTAAGTTACAAACCGACCTTCGTTCGGTAATTCTTCGATGGCGACAACATCGTTATGTTTTCACTGCCGAAATATCGCAAAAATGTATAGGCAGATTCAAGTCGATCCGCGCGATCAAGACTATCAGCGCATCTTATGGCGCTCTTCATCATCCGAAGCGGTGCAAGACTACCGCTTGCTTACTATTACTTACGGTATGGCGTGTGCTCCATACCTCGCTCTTCGCACGATTCAGCAATTGACGCAAGACGAAGGCGCTCAATTTCCTCTTGCTCAATCAGTTTTACGCAATCAAATCTATGTAGATGATTGCATCTTCGGCGCGGATGACAAGCCGCTTGCAAGGCAAATCCGCAATCAATTAATTT